TAGTGACATTTTTGCAGCCCAATCCTTTACTTCCCATGCAAACCCTGTTCCTGTTAAGTTCATTGTCTCCCAACTCCCCTCTAATATTGATTTTGTAGGATGATCTGAATTATGCCCTTGTAAATTGATCCAGTAAGCAACAGATAATTTTTTACGTCTTATTTCTAATGGGGACTCTCCTGTTTCAACTTGCATTGCTGAGATTGGAGTTGTTTTAATTGCACCTGTAATACATCTCAAAGCTCGTGCTTGAATAAGATCTAACTTTTTAAGCATACTGATTGAGGCAGATCCATATATAATACACCCATAATCTAAAACAGATCGTAGAAGTGCACAGTATAAGGTGCTCATTGATTGTTTATTTGCCCCCCATTCTTGGCCTACTATACATCTCATTAGATTTAGTACTTTACTACATTTCTTTTCAATGTAGTCAATATGGATTTTCCATGTTAATTTAGAATCAAACCACAGACCTAAATATTTAAATTTTGTTACCCTTTCTAATGGTTGTTTATATGTGTGAGAACCTAAAAGCTAGTAAAACTTATAACGTACTGCATCTGGTCGAGTGCACTGCTCGTGCGGATTTAGGTTGAGTTGTGCACGTGCGTTTGTAATCGTAACCGGAAGTGGAGTCGCCGTCAGCGCGACGGGTGTGTGCAATATGGTAAGTGACAATCGCAAACAGCTTTTATTGCTTTAAACAAAAACCTATATAGGATGTTTCATTGCTATATGACGTTCAGAAAACTTAAAGTTTAAATACTTAAATGTTTTTCATTCGTGAAAGTCTCCAGTCTCACGTCGCTAAAACACCATAGCCTGTTAGCTCTCATGCTAACCAACATCAAACAACTTTGATGTACGCAATATTGAACGTTAGGCTCTTGTGTCAGTTAAATATATCTAAATTCTATTTGGAAAGAAATGCTCCTTTGTGCACTTAAATGCTGCGAAAATTATATTATATAGTTAACTCAATAATAATGTGGTAAAGACCACTTACAGGAAGAGTTTCACTGTTGTTTTATTTTTATTTTTTTTATCGTACTTTTGATTATGTAAAATCCTTTCTTTTTCTTTATTGCTTTTTTTTTAAATGATGTTTTGTTGCTATACCATTTGATATTAGAAGTGACTAGTCATCGTTTGTTTTGTTGTTGTATGCGGTTTAGTGGCTGTTATGTGAAATAAATAACTACAAATCATTTCACAGTCATACAATACACAGGTTTACTCATGAATGTCTAGCTACCTGGCTAAATGCCTCGAAACTGGGAGTGTCTTTCGCAAATCCAGCGACTTATTCCTCCTTAAAAGTGTATTAACTTGTTACTTATGTAAACATGACTTTGTTTGACTACTTTGAGATTTAATCACACTCCTCTCTGTTTCAGATGACACACTTCTTTGGATCTCAAGAAGGATCACCTCCACGAGGATGAGATCTGACGTTCTGCACTGGATATTGTAAGAGGATGAAAAGCAATCTCTGTCACCAAAAACCGTACAAATGATATGACCGTTCTCCTTGCATCAGTCACCACACTCATCAGCTAAAGAGTTAATTGTTGGCCATCTACAGAAAGTCTTTTTGCATTACTTCATCCAAACCATGGTGGACAACCGATACGCCACGGCGTTGGTCATCGGCTCCGTGCTGAGCCTGCTTGCCACTGTCTATCTCTCTGTTGCCATGGGAACGCAGCACTGGTACCAGTACCACAGCCAGCCGGCCAGCAACGACGCCAACAACGGCTCGGACCTGCAGACGCTGCGGCAGGACTTTGAGGCAGAGGACGTGGATGAGAGGATCTACAGCGTCGCTCTGTTTCGGCTGAATGGCACACTGGGTCTCTGGTGGCGCTGCATTCTGGTGCCTAAACACTCATACTGGTTTAAAGAGCCTGGTAAGGAGAGGAACTTATGGTTATGTATTATTATTATTATTATTATTAGTTGTGCAGTCGGTTAAAAATGGATGCTTACTACATTTTGCTTTGTCTCTCTTCTCGCTCTCCGCTTCCTCCTTTCCAGATCCGATAATGGTGACTAAATGTCAGGCCTTTACTTTGCCACAGCAGTGCGAATCCAAGTACAAATCTCCTGGGAATATTAACAGTGGAGAAGATCTGCTGCGTACATGTACGTCCTGACTCTCAATCAATCATTTACTCACACCTATACTTTCTAGGGAATTCTTTAGATGATATTCCATTTGATTTATACACTACCATTTAAAAGGCTGGGGTCTTTCTAAATTATCACATTTATTCAGTAAAGATGCATTGAACTAATCAAAAGTGTCAGTAAAGACATTTATAATGATACAAAAGATTTCTGTTTCAAATAAATGCTGCTCTTTTGAACTATTCATCAAAGAATCCTGAAAAAAAGAAATGCATCACAGTTTTCTCAAAAATATGAAGCAGCACAACTGTTTTCAACATTGATAATAATAATACATGTTTCTTGAGCAGTAAATCAGCATATTAGAATGATTTCTGAAGGATCATGTGACACTGAAGACTGGAATAATGATGCTAAATATTCAGCTTTGATCACAGCAATAAATGACATTTTAATATATATTAAAATTGAAAACAGTTATTTTAAATTGTAATAATATTTCACAATATTACTGTTGTTACTGTATTTTTGATAAAATAAATGCAATCTTGGTGAGTCTTCTTTCAGAAACATTAAAAAAAAAAATCTTACAGTCTGCAAACTTGGTAGTGTATATATTGGGAAGATTTTTTTATTTATTTTCATTTATATCAAACATTTCATTGTAAACTTAATGACCAAATAAAAACATGTCAAAACTATATTGCCATTAAAATAATCTTGAAGACATTGAAAACATTAAATATATATTGCCCAGCTCTTTGACTAGCACTCATAATAAAAACATGCTGTGACAATGAAACGATGAAAAGAGTTCTCAACATCATTTTTAATGCTCATTCCATTCACTTATAATGCCTATTATGCTCTTTTACAAAGTCTTGATTTTGTTTTGGGGGTGTACTAGAACAGGCTCTCATACTAGGTTGTTCGAAAAACATTATTATTCATATATTTTACATTATTACAACGCTTTGTAAATTCGCAGATCTTTTTTATGCTCAAACAGCAACATTACAGACTAACTACAGTTGAAAATGTGAAAAAGCATAATAGGACCCCTTTAAGTAAGATTCATTTATATATAGTATTTTAACCAGCCGCAGTGAGCAACAGGATGTTTTGTCATTTGCTTTGTCATTATGTTTTGAATGTTTGTGTCCACAGACCTGTGGAAGTGCCAGTTCCTGTTGCCGCTGGTCTCTGTGGGGCTGGTGTTTCTCGCGGCGTTGATCGGAGTGTGCGCCTGCCTTTGCCGCAGTATCACTCCTACACTATTCGTAGGGCTGCTGCATCTGCTGGCCGGTAAGACATTAATAACAGCTAATGGCTATATTTCCACAGCTCCCAGAGATCATTTTAATTTGACATATATTGTTTTCTCAGGCCTGTGTTCCATGGCCACCGTATGCTGTTTCCTCGCGGGCGTGCATTTGTTTCACGAAATATCCGAGCTCCCCGAGGGGATGGACTATTCACCGGGCTGGTCCTTGTTTTTGGCTCTGGTCTCGTCTCCGCTGCAGATCATGGCTGCCGCGCTCTTCATATGGGCCGCGAGGAGCCACCGCCAACACTACACTCGAATGACAGCCTACAGGGTTGCTTAGGCAATAGATGACTGACTATAGAGTCGCCGAAGCGATTGTCTCCTCTCACAGAAAGCGCCAATCCATGTTCGTTCAGCGGCTGCATTTACCACTAACCAAGCTAAAGTTATGAAGGAAACAGTCAGAACATACCGCTCCAAGTTAGTAGGTTAACTAACGCCGTCCACCTGTAGCACTGTCCTGTGAATATATTCATTTCTTGAAGGATCTTCCTACTATATAACTGCCTTTTTAACCACTCTATTAGCATCTGTGCTGTTGAAGATGAGAAACTAAACTTCTCACCCACAGACTCTCGCTCAACAGAAAAGCATCTATAAACACTAAACCGTAGTTATTCAGGGCTTCGCCTTTTGTTTACCTGTGTTAGACTAAACTTATTTTGATGTGTTAGGTTTAGTTTAATCTCCTCAGCGTGTTTTAAATAACACCTCTGTGTCTTTTATTCAGCCTGTGTTGTAGCTACTCCGTGACATCTTGAAGCGATTGCATTTTAGCGCTTTGCAATCCCAAGATGCAATAGGGTTTTGCCTTGGCCTGAAAGACTGAATGTTTGTGTCCGTCTTAAGCATTAACCACTTGAGCCTTTTGTGTTTTCCTGAACATTTGGTTTGCTTATTTATTATTGTTTCTTGTGCTTTGCATTGGTTATACTCTGTTGTTTACCATTTAGTTTCTCTTTGAGAATGTATTTCATTGTATACTTCACATTTGTTTAGTGACTTGATTAGAATCCAGTTATAATGTTTTGTGATGGTTCAAGTAGTAATTTAAAACCATCTCGGCTGTGGTTTATATACTTATTTATACTTCATTTAAAACATTTAGCTGGTGCACGTTATGCGATTTTTACCATGATGTTGTTTTCGATATGCTTTGCAGATTTTCTCAGCAGTTTAGGATTGCATAATGTGATGTTATATGACAACTAAATTAGTGCATATAAAGCCACTCTAAACATTGGTGAAATTAGTGCAAGGGCACAATTTTATTTTGTATGTCAAATGATGTGGACGAGTGACTTAAAACATCCAGTTACTGCTGTCATTCGTCACGTATATCATGCACACTTTGACTAAAAATCTAGAGATTACTTGCAGTCAGTTGAAGATTTCACTGCCATCATATCGTGCAAAAATCGTACCAGTGGTAAAAATCACACTGTGCACATCTAGCTTCACTTGATTTCATTGTGCCATGTGGTTTATTCTGCGTGTTGTAATATTGGAGATCACATTTTTTTCAAGTGAGTGTACTTTTTGTTTTTTATTTCGAGTCCATGAGAGGCTCAATTTTCTCCAAACAATCAGGCAAGAGCAACAGCATATGAGCAATACAGTCAAGAGGATACCTCACACTCCACTGTGACATCATCATGATGTCAGTACTTCAGATGGTTTTGCCTTTTTTATACAGTTTTGTACACGTTCCTGTCCATTGAAAATTTTGCTGGTCACAATAAATATCTTTTCATCCAAAACGCTGTTGCTCGTGTTTTAGCAGCTAATAAATGAGCCATTCATTGTCCTATAGTTAAAAATAAGTACATGGCGTATACCTGAGTTACAAGTGATTGTCAAAATCATTTCAGTGACATTCTTATGAAATCAACTGATTGATGGTGGCAATTGTGCCGAGTTTAATATCTTTTCCTCTCTCATCCTTCAGTCTTTCTGCACTCGCACCGTTGGAATCGTCAGCATCATCTTTTTTCCCAAGTGAAAAGCGATTCCCTTTTCATAGTAAGCAGCCTCATTGATAAAGAAAGGATGAAGTGTCTCTTCTTCCTCGTAGTTCACAGTTTCTCCAGAAAATGACAAAAATAAAGGGTCTCCCCGCTTGAGAAGACAGAAGTCTTTGTCCTAGAAAACAAAAAAGATAATAAAAAACTATTTAGATTTTGGGTATATTTCACAGAAATATGTCTAGATCACATTATAATCAAAATCAAGAAAAATGAAATTATATTTAGCACTTTTTAGGCTGATTAAGATTGCATTTCGTGATATACAAAGCATGTTTGCATGTAGAGATCTTGTATAACTCCCATTAAAAAAAGCTCAACTTTTTTTTATTTACCGTATTGGCCCGAATATAAGACGACCGCGTTTTTTCAGATGTATTTCCAAGAAAAAAAACATCGTCTTATATTCGGGTCAATACGGTAATTCAACATAAAGGCAGTACAACAAATACCACCATGATGAATTAATCACTGTCAGTGCTGGGTAGATTATTTACAAATTGATTATAGATTACATGATGAAGAGTGAATAATGTAATCTAGATTACTCGTTTCAGGTAATGTATTCTGATTACTTTTAGATTACTTATAACCTAACTTTAAATGGGATTATTGTTAAAAATATAAATAAGATTTAAAAAAAAATTTTTTTTTGTTGTCAACATCATAAAATGCATTAAACTTTACATTACTGTAGTGTTTCCCAAACTGTGGTAAATTAAAGAACTGCAGGGGGTTTATTAGTTGATGAAGAGCTAATAATTAATTACGTCATAAAAATCTAAACAATAAATTGTTTTAAAATAAAAGCATAAAACGCTTGAACACCCACATTTGAAATATTTTGTTCACCTTCAGGTCAATATGACTATTAACTGACATCAGAGAACATGTGAATGTGTTATTGAATTATCTTAGGGGGACCTGCAATCCATAAAAAAGTAACTAATGTAATTATGAGCATTTTAAAATGTAATATAATCCAATTATAAGTACTACACTTTTGGAATTTGATTACGTAATCCAGATTACATGTAATCAGTTACTATCCAGCACTATTTATCATAATAATAATTGATCTTTTCTCCACACTTCAATAATTAGAATTAGATTTTTTTCACCATTACTGTAATAGAAAATGGAGAAAGAAAATAGTATTTGTCCTAAAATAAACAATTTTCTTATGATCTAGACATGTTCATGCTGATTCTGTGTGTAAATATCATAAATAGCAGAACGATTGGCACCTGCAGCTGAGGATGAATGGCAGCAGTGAGAGTCCGAGTCTCTGGATCTCTTGGATAATCAACACTTTTGATAAACTTAAAGGCTTCTACATCCCCGCCTTCAAACACCGTTCCTGAAGACAACATAGTTTGAAATAAATCACACTTACAACAGACAAATATAAACCCCAATTGTTTAGGTCTTACAGTACCTGAGTTGAATTTGTGGATCCAGTCTATTGTCAAGTCGACGGCCTCTTTCATAATAATATAGATATCGGCTCTGACGACACCATGCGGCTGCGGCCCGACCTCTAACGCTACAGAAACACAGGTCATCTGAATGTACATTTGTGGTTGAAAAGACAAAGCAAATGCATTGAGATGATTACCATCACTTACAAAAGCCATGCTTGGACACAGACTCCAAGGAATAAGCATCACTAATCGGGACATCAAGTACCAGCACTCTCACAGGCACTTTGGTTATCTTAGTCTTAAATGTGTACACGACAACACACAACATCAAAACACACGTGCACTGACACATAAACAAAAACATAGGTCTGTGGTTCTTAACTGGTTTTCTTCAGGACCTGTATTTTACACTGAATATTCTGTATTTTCAGTGCTGGGTAGTAACTGATTACAAGTAATCTGGTTACGTAATCAGATTCCATAAATTTAGTAATTGTAATTATTTTTAATTCTAAAATGTTAATAATCAGATTATAGTTACTTTTTTATGGATTTAATCATTTAAAGCTGCAGTCTGTAAATTTTGCCTCTTTGTTGCCATCTCTGTTTGAAAACCTGCAATTGCAGTTATTTGCGAAATTATCATCTTTGCATGGCTCCAGCGGATGAATCTAATGTTTTGAGGTGAATGTGTGGCTGTCAGTCACCGCACTGGTGTGGATACTGTACTTAGGAATCACAGATTCTAGCCTACGTCTCAGAATATATGACCCAAATAAGAATTTTCACCAGATATTGTCATCTGAACGTAACAAGTCTGCCACTTTTGTTCTGACCAACTGAGGAAAAAAGCTTTACAATAAATCGCACTACCAATGGTGATTAAATCTGCATGCTTGAATTTCCTGTGAATTCCTACCAGTACCACTCAAATTAAAAAACATTATTATAAGCTTCACGAGCTAGGACCACGCCACAAACGAGCTATGGAATAGTTAATTGAACAGGATGTTGGGGAAGAGTAGAAAGAGGATGAAGGGGTAGAGGGAATGGGATTATGGTCAGGTTGATCAGGGCATCTAGAATTGATGGCCCAGAGAGACTCAGGGTGGGGGTATCGTCTCAATCGTATATTTAGGCCAGATGATTAGAACCCCCCTGATACAACCTGAAAGAAAGAGAAATATGGGATAAGGATGGCTGAATGGATGAGAAAGGGTGGGTTCGAGAGAAAGAGACAAACAGTCAGTATGAGGCGGCCCGATATATATGAAGGTTTCGGGAAGTCAGGTGATTGTTTGGGGCGTGGCCCCGCTCCCGAACCTCAGTTAACAAGTCAACTCCCTTTACCGTTGTGAATCGGGCTAAGGTAAGGAGATTTTGAACACTGGCTGGTTATGTACTTGCTCAAAAAATAATTTGGGTCATTTTTAACCAACAAAAGTTACGGACTGCAGCTTTAACAACACATTTGCATTTTCTCAGATGACAAATAATGGTCATATATATTTCTTTACTATAACTATAATTCCCATTTAAATCTATAAACAAGTTAGATCAAAAGTAATCTAAAAGTAATCCAAAAGTAGTCAGAATACAGTACAAAACTGGGTGTTTTTACGATTTATTTTGCTATCCTAACTATTACTTTTTTTGCTATTAAGTTGCAGTTTATTTTTTTGCATTAATCATGGTTTTTTCCCTTGCTGTCTGTCCAGTTTTTGGTCACAACAACCCACCAGTTGAGAACGACTGACCTTAGTTTCTAGTACAGCATTTATTGAGGCACACTAGTAATGTTCTTGCCTGTAAGTATTTGCAGATGTGCAGGGTCACCCAGTCACTGGATGTGTAATGGATGAGTGTGAGGCCCATGTTGGACGTGGTGTTATGAAGGTCACAGATCAAGTCTATTGCATCTGTGGATCCTTTCAGCCCCAGCAGATTGTTCAGTTCCTGAGCACGCCGGACTTCATACGGGCTGCTGTCTGTAATAGGAGAGCTGCAAGAAACAGAGCATTTTAGAGCTACACAGTAACATATTTATGTTACTTTATTTATGCTGTACCATAGACACTGAGGGGGACAAGATCCCCCCCTGTAACTTTAAAAGTTACATTTTTAGGCTGGTCTGCCTCAGTGGTGTAACCACGCTCGTCAGTGTCAAAATGCTTGAGATGGCCAATCAAATCAAAGTAGGTAGAGTTTACTCAAGCGGCAATCTTCCGGTCTCTCTCGTGAAACCAACACGGAAGTGACTTAAACTGTAATTCGTCAACTGGCCGCTAGAGGCTGGCTGCAAAAGGGAGTCAATCCCATAGACTCCCCATGTTAAAATGCCCAACTTTACAGCAGAGAAAAACATGTTTACAGCCTGGTTCAAAAATGTATTTTGGTCTATATAGCTAATTTTGCCCTTCATGACAACTGTGAGGGGGGTGAATTTTTTTATAACTCATCCGTTTAAATTATATTAAGCCTTAAAGTTCTGCATAATTAAGGGCGTGGCCATTTGAGTGACAAGTGGATTGCCGCTGCTGTTACCACCGTCGAGCTAGGTGGGCGTGGTTTCAGCAACCAGCTCCCGCCTTTTTGCCCATTTTCGATTATCCGGGAGTGATGCGCGATGACGTGCTGCCAAGATGGCGACAGCCGGCTCCGCCCACTTTGAGCTTCAAAAACGCTCTTTAGAAACCTACAGGTGACGTCACGAACACTACGTCCATGTTTTTTTACAGTCTATGAGTTTACTGAGCGCGAATTTCACAAGCGAACAAGATCCAGGGGGTGTGGTTGGACCCAGATCCAACTCCTCCCACCTTACATATACCTAAACCATACCCGTCTCCACCCCCTGACCCTAAACCTACCAATCTCCACCCCCTAGATGTGGATCCAACCACGCCCCCTGGATCTTGTGTTCTGCAGTGAGGGGCTACTGCAAATTTCAGCACGAAGCATCAGTTTTAACGTTGAAATAGAGCTAGGTAAGATGGAAGTAGTGAAACATTTAATATTTCACAACTGTTTTACAATAGACCCTTTTCACAAGACTGTGATGACGCATTTCAATGGTCATCAGCATCGTAAATCCTCCAAAGTTTTTTGTATTTTCATTTTTATTGTATGTACATTTATAACACTGTATTTTGTATAACATTACATTTGCATCGAATTACAAAAAAAACTAATTAATGCTAAAGCTGAGGAAAGCAGCGTCTGGGCGTGACGGAAAATTTGATATTGTTCTCTCTCTATATTGTGGAGTTTTTCTTTTGCTATTTGAGCAAATGAAAATGCAAAAAATATATGTGGTAGTCTCTCATTCACCGCTATACTGTAGAAGTTTACCCAGCTAGACGACTTCCGCTGCTGAGAAACCCGGACATGTGAAAACGGTCTATAGAAACCTTCAATAGCGGACAGTATTATCCAGTAATGCAAACTACTCAACTTTTTTCTCAAATTTCATGTAAATTTAATGTAATTCCTGAATGTGATGAGACAAGAAGCGTTTTGCGTTTTCAACATATTAGGCATACAAATAAGAGTAAATGCGATCACATACTATTATAATATATTTAGCTAATAATTAAAAATGATTACTTTCCAATTAGAAGAAACAATAGACCTAATTTAGAACCTTCACTATTTTAAATCCATATATAGCCTAATACAAATAAGAGTAAATGCGATCACATACTATTATAATATATTTAGCTAATAATTAAAAATGATTACTTTCCAATTAGAAGAAACAATAGACCTAATTTAGAACCTTCACTATTTTAAATCCATATATAGCCTAATATACAAGCTTTATAATAAACTAACATTATGCCGAGTTCACACTGCATTATTTTCAAACTCGTCGGATCGCCGTTGTTTTCACACTGCGTGACTATCTGGGGTAGCATTCAGTTGCTGCTGTGTTCACACTGCACGATGGATCGGCGACAGGGGGTTTCACACTGCATGACTTCACAATAGGAAGAATCGCCAGAGTTTTCGAGCTAGACTGGAATTATTTAAAAAATATATATATAGGCCGCAAATTGTCTGTGAGCTGATTTCCAGCACACCCTCTCCCTTTTCTTTTCGCTGTCGCTCCATCTCCTGCACCACGTACACTCCGGACAGCTCGTTCCCATGGGTGCCGCCGCATACGGCCATACGAGCCAGTGCTGGCAGGAACACTAATGCCATCTACAACAGAAAAGTAATTACACTCTTATTTTGTTTTCAGAGGTTTTGTGCATAATGGATTTTGTCCCTTATAACAGATCAATACATCTCAGTATATGGAGGGGGGAAACCAACGCATCCTAGATAAATTTATCTAATGATAACATAAAACACTAAAGTTGTGTGTCACAAACTGCTTTCATAAGTAGACTGTTAGTATGTATTTGGCTTTCATACATCACACATTATAGAATTCCAAACTGTGTAATGTTGCAGTTTCTAATAAAGTTATGGCCAACTAGTAGGTAACGATTCCACCAGTTTACTCTCATCTGGCGAGTGTTTATCCATATGTGTATACCTTTAAGAACATGTGACCATGGAATTAGTTTAGCTCTGCTGCTAGAGGAAATTTAGCTGTTTTACTTCCAATTTCGTTACTAAGTATTCTGTTGCTCTGTTAAACTGTGTGCACTTATTGAAGACTATTATTACAAGCTGTCTCACATTCTTCAACAACATGCAACATATCAGAGCAAAGGCTACAAAAGTGAAAGGAAAACCTACTGTTGTTTATTTGAAAAATAATGTGTTTTTTGAACATTAAAGCATGTCAACATATTCTGTTACACCAAATACAAAAAATAATGATCTTTAAAAAAGCATCATATGACCCCTTTAATGTCTGTCTACCATAATTATTATATCATGAGCCCATTCAGTGATCTGAATATTGATTTATAGTCTATTGCATGTTGTTATTGGTGGACACACTGTATTAAACAGATTTTATTACCTTTTTTACCCATTACCAATTTGCATTGGCCAAAAATCTCCAGCAGTGGGTGAGAAAGAGGTGTGGCCAGTATAAATTGAGCTCTATGTTGACAGTTAACAGTTAAAGTAATTTGACTTCAGTTGTAAGTGCATTAGTGTAAAAAAATTTTTTTAATTCATTCAGATTAACCCATACTAAAACCTATAGCTTATTTTTTTGACAATATAATAACATTATGTACTTGACTTATGATTTGTAGTTGTAGATGATTTGTAGAACTGATGAGAGAGTTAATAAACAACAAAACCATCATTAATAATCCTATGGCGGAGGTCAACAGAACAAGGGTCACACATTGTTTAGATAGATAAACTTTTTATTTTATTTCAGCTAGTTGCAAAGGCAACATTTCTCATTTTGGTTTAGTTTAACTCGAAGTACTAAAATAACTAAAACTGAAATACAAATTAATAAAAAATAGATTTAGTTTTTAAAAATCTAGCAAAAATGACAAAAACTCGCATCAAAATGTCTAAACCTTTAGCTAAAATGAAAACAGAAGCTATAAAAATAAACTATAATAGTATATAAATGATACTAAAATAACACTGAGCGGATGTAGAAGTGTTTAAGAAAAATGTTCCTCATATTTAATGAATCTGAAGAATGTTCCATATGTGTGGCGCCACATGGAGTTCTAGAGGGGAAAAAACTTTACGCATCTTAGATGAACTTAAAAGACAGAAGTTGTGTGAGTCACAAACACTTTTCTTTAGTAGACCGTTTGTATGTCTTTGGCTTTCATACATCACATTTCAAGAATTCCATTCAAACTGTGTAATGTTGCAGTTTCTAATAAAGTTATGGCTGACTAGTGGGTAACTTTATTACGTCTATGTTTACTCTCATCTGGCGAGTGTTTATCCATGTGTGTACACCTTTAAGAACATGTGACCATGGTATTAGTTTAAGATCTGCTGCTAGAGGGAGTTTTGCTGTTTTCCTTTAGAATGAAGTGTTCTGTAGCTCTCTTAAATAATATGCATTTATTGAAGACCATTATTACAAGCTGTCTCACATTTTACAACAACATGCAACATATCAGAGCAACAGCTCTAAAAATGAAAGGTAAACCTACCGTTATTTTTAATACAGAAGTAATGCTGTTTCACTCCTTCTTCCAGCTGCTTTCCCTCTAATCGTCTTACTGAGTGAAGTTGCACAAGACACAGCAGACCTTTGGACACATACGGTGAGGTGTGACAGGGCATGCGTGCTGACACACATTCAGTCGGTACAGGCCTAATCTAGCCTTAGGGGCCACAACACTGCAGGAGCCGCATCTGCACACACACCCACACACATTAATAGTTTAAGACATTCCTCCCCAGTTGCTCAAACACAGTAAAGTAACATACAATGATTTAGCTCGACCTTCTCTGCCTGCTTCAGTCACCAGCCCTGGATCATCTTTCACACATGATGCTAATGTCACAGCAACTCTCACTTCCACTGGAGCTCCAGCATGAAGCAAGCGTTTTGCTGACTCATACATGCACTAACAAGAGTGTGTGTGTGGAAGAAAAACAAGAGGGGGGAGGAGAAACATGACAACTGAGAGGACTGCAGAACCTACAATTATACCTAAACATTACAACTAGCTCCTGCCTGTCTTTCATAACAAACCGGTATTTCCGGTCACTATTTCCTCCTACCTCCTCAGGGCATAAACATCTGCTGTTGCAAAACAGCCAATTTCGAAAAAAAGAAAGAAAAAAAAAGAAATTTGGTTGGAATTGCGCTGTTAGCATTGTGCTGACTTATGGTGCCTCTAAGCATTGAAAATTCAGGAAACTTTACAGGTTTCATAATGTCCTGTTGTCCATGTGTATCAAGTTTTGCTACATTTTGGATGTTGCAATCACAAGATATAAGTCAGTCAGTCATTATGGGCCACACCCAAAAACACATTAACCTATATTTGCTACATGACTAAATTAATCTTTTTGTCATGAACATCTCTAGATGATACACACAAAATTTCATACAAATCAGACAAACTGCATTGAATGATTTTGAACAGAAAATTAGAATGGTGGATATATTTTAAAGGTAGGATAGGTGATATGGTTAAAAAAATTATCCTGGTTGAAAGACTATAGCAATCACTAAGTTAAGTGGTCTAAATGTATTTATATCCAAAGTTCTGGCATGAAACTCTAGATGGCGCAGTCCAATAGATCAAAATCAATCTGACATAATGACATCATTATCACATGGCGCAGCTGATTGGTTCTTTTTGCATCAGCAGCCAATGAGCTCACTGCTCAACATTCAAATACTTGACTAGTGCTTGCAGTAGCAGTGCAGCACGCTTCAGAAACTCTCCACCTTCCCCAGCTCCACCTGTATAGATCTGCTAGGGGGTGATCATGTATGCTATGAGGTTATTCATATGTTATATGTGCAGCAGCAATATTTTTTACATGCTCACAGCAGCATGTTGTGGATGTATTGGCAGTAGCAAGTCTCGGTACTTGCTCTGCCACAGCAGTAGCAGTGTAGCAGATCTATTCTGCCAAGACCAAACACATTAGCACTGAATGTCATGTACATTACCATGCCAATCCCTCCGAGAGCAAATGTATTTATATTTTCTGTGGAAGGTGTAGGACCATGAAATGTACATCCAATCATATCCCTCGGTCTGAGGGCTATGATAGGCTGTCCTACCTGCATATCAACATATGTACTTGCATGTCTTTGTGCACCCTGTTTGCGCAGACATGATATTTCATCAGCGTGTTCCATTACGCTATTGCAGACCAAGCAAGGATGGAATAACGTTATTATTGTAATATTATGTTCTTTGTACAGTAATATTTTCTCACCGGCGAATGAGACATGAGGTTATCTCTGACAGCGCTGTATTCAATCCTTCACCAACGCCATCTCTCATCATGTCGCTGGTTAGTCTCTGCTCTGCCTGTGCTCGTTCATGTGTTTGGGAGGATGCGTGGCTTTGGAGAGTGATTTGTAGGGAGGATGGGATCTTATGCTTTCAAAGCTAGCTTGCTATTGCTAGCCTCTCCGAAATCGCCTACTCTACCTGTAAAGATAAACTGTTACTGGCAACTTAAAGCAAGAGCTCCGAAGTTGCTTAATATGGAGCCACCTTGTGATCAGTTTTCACAAACTTTTCTACGCATACTCGTTTTTACATGATGTACGAATCTATCCATTTTTGTAATGGTAGGAGATTCAGATTTGACATTATTAGGTGCTGGAATTTGATTGGCTGCTGGCAGACTTGTTTTTTTTATGTATCTGAGTCATATTAAAGAATAGGTTTGTTCGACTTGCAGCGCTTCGCAGACCGATTGTTGTATGACATCAAATTACCGTGAGACCTATAGAGAGAAGACAGCCCTGCATGCTTTCGAATCACTCTTGCTGTACTTTGATGTCATACAGTCAAACACACTTTATATAATAGGACATCCACCAAATACGATCATGCGGTTGCGATGTTATTAAGGATTTTCAGTTGTAGTGCCCCCTATAGGTGCAATTCTTAAATAACTTGCCGTGCGTCCTCAGTATGTTCTGTAGTTTGTGTATCAAGTTTTGTTATGTTTGGACGTTGCATTCAGGAAATGTATGTTAATTTGTGAGAACCAATGACACCAGACCAATTAATTCGCTTATATATATATATACATACAACCAGGGTTTGAAATTAACACCCGCCAACCCGCCAAATGCGGGTAAAAATCAGCTGTGGCGGGTAACGCTGTCAAATCACTAGCCAATTTGGCCGGTTACTTTTCGTAAATTATGTTTACTAATTAATTTATTGAGGAAGTTCATGTAAGCCAAATCTGCACAGATTTAGTGTAAATACTGAACTCGAGACTCATCATGATATATTAAATAAGCCTAATTGCGCAGCATCTGGGCATCTAGCTTACTTGAACATACCCAGCGATGTAGCTACTGGCTTTTTTTCATAATTTATTTGTTTAATTTTTTTGGCTAGTAGAAATTATGAATGGCCGGTAACTTAAAAATGTAGTAGCCAAATTGGCTGGTGAGTGAAAAAGTTAATTTCAAACCCTGCACACAACACTTCAACAAATCCAAATTCTTTTAGTAACTTTTTAGGGATAAAAAAAATAAAAATTGTTTCTAACCTTAATATAGCACCACCTAGTGTCCACAAGATGTGTGTTTGCTTGCCTGAGTAGCAGGTGTTATAAGGAAGCATTCCTCCAAGTTTTGTGTCTCTGTGATGTAAGGCTCTGACTGCCAGACACGTTTTCACACTATCACTTTGATTAATGGTTCTCAGCTGGTTTTGCTTCAAGACCCAAAGAAACAAAATGTCTTTAAAAAGAAGCATTAATATTTATTATTACCATAAACTGCAAAGGCCCAACAATATGATTGTTGTCTATATGAAAATTAATAACATGACAGGGAAATGTACAATTTTGTAAATGCCTAAACCGCAGAAGTTACAGCCTTACATGTATAAGACACTTTGGACCAAATATTGTATTACATTTAAAAAAAATGTGTAATATGTGACTCACTGAACGCATAGATTTTGACAATTAAATTAGCTTTTCATTTTCATATAGCTACAAATATGTACATGATGTCTACCTGAGTTATAAGTGATTGAAAATGTTTTAAAATCATTTAAGTGGCATTCTGTCTTGTAAAATCATCTGATTGATGTTAGATTTTTTGGCAATCATGCTGAGTTTAATATCCTTTCCTCTCCCATTCTTCAGTCTTTCTGCACTTGCACTGTTGGAATTGTCAGTGTCAACTTTTTTGCCAAGTGAAAAGCAATTCCTTTTTCATAATAGGCAGCCTCATTGATAAAGAAAGGATGAAGTGTCTCTTCTTCTTCATACTTCACGGTTTCTCCAGAAAATTTAAAAAACAAAGGGTCTCCCTGCTTGAGGAGACAGAAGTCTCTGTCCTAGAAAAAAAAAACATTTTAGATGAATCCAAAAAAGATTAAACAATTCTTTAATTTACAAAACATACTTGCATACATACAACGTACATTTTCCCTATTTTATATAATTCCCCAAAAAATACCACCATTTTTTTTATTTAAATCAGCATAAAAGCAGTACAACAAATGATGAATAAATACTTTACCGTTTTAATCATTTATGTTTTTCCCACATTACAGTAATTCAATGAGATCTTTTTTCTCCATTACTGTAATTAAAAATGGTTCTAAAGCAAGCTTGAGCTCAGGCATGTTGTTCACAGCATTATCTTTGCTGATTCTGTGTGTAAATATCATAAATAGCAGAACGATTGGCACCTGCAGCTGAGGATGAATGGCAGCAGTGAGAGTCCGAGTCTCTGGATCTCTTGGATAATCAAAACTTTTGATAAACTTAAAGGCTTCTACATCCCCGCCTTCAAACACCGTTCCTGAAGACAACATAGTTTGAAATAAATCACACTTGCAACAAACAAATATAAACCACAATTTATACAGGTCTTACAGTACCTGAGTTGAATTTGTGGATCCAGTCTATTGTCAAGTCGACGGCCTCTTTCCGGGACATCCTGTACCAGCACTCTCACAGGCACTTTGGTTATCTTAGTCTTAAATGTGTACATGACAACACAAAGCATCAAAACACATTCTACTCATGGAATGGTCAACAGTTATAATGGAACATTTACAACAACACAGGTGTGTGGTTCTTCACTGGTTTTGCTTCAGGAACCAGATTTTACACTGAATATTAAGTACAACTGTTTGAGACATGTACAACTTGCTGTCTTTTTTTGGGTCAAACCTCCCACCAGTTGAGAACGACTGACCTTAGTTTCTAGTACGGCATTTATTGAAGCACACTAGTAATGTTCTTGCCTGTAAGTATTTGCAGATGTGCAGGGTCACCCAGTCACTGGATGTGTAATGGATGAGTGTGAGGCCCATGTTGGACGTGGTGTTATGAAGGTCACAGATCATGTCTGTTGCATCGGTGGATCCTTTCAGCCCCAGCAGATTGTTCAGTTCCTGAGCACGCCGGACTTCATACGGGCTGCTGTCTGTAATAGGAGAACTGCAAGAGAGAGGTGATATTAGATTAACATCAATTCACATTTGTACATGTATAAATATAGTTAGGCCCATATATATTTGGACAAAGGCACAATTTTTGCTATTTTAGCTGTTGACCAAAACATATTCAAGTTACAGTTATATAATGAATATGGGCTTAAAGTGCACACTCTGAGCTTAAATTTGAGGGTATTCTCATCACAATTGGAGGAAAGGTTAAGGAAATACAGCTCTTTTATATGTACCCCGCCCCCCTTAGTTACTGTTGCTCCCTCGGACAAACATGTTGTGATTTGAACGATGTTAATTTTGGACACAGAAGGGCCACCATTCAAGTGTAAATTAAATATTCCATGGAGGGATATATACAATATTTTTAAATAAATATGGTGGGTAACTCGAAGCATGTTTACAGATCACAATGCAAGCGGGAGAAGTCTCATATTACGGTCATCACGATCGCGGATGACAACATGCAGGATCAACACTGTTCATGTATCGCAGGGTACGATTAAATTCATGTACATTTAACCAGTTTAATATGGAGAGGCACTGAAATGTAGACCTTCGTCTATGTGTTTTTCACCTACACTGTACATGACGTGAGAACGGTCCGCTATTTAGGTTTGTACTTTAGCATGGACGCATAACTTAATGTTAGTTTTAGCCAGAGATACCTTGCTGAAACGCAACATGACATTAACGTTCTGCTTGAGCAGATGAAAAATGTAACTTGATGAGAGTATGACAACCAGAAAATGAACGTTTTTGTCTTCATTGGGATTGAATACTTAGGGACATTTTGCTCTGTTTTGTTTGGGTTTAGTAAATGTAATAAAATAAATTCTATTGCCCATCCTCTCAGGATACTTGGAATCAGTGTTACAAGTACCCCAGACACATCGTTTTTCCATTTTTGTAGCATAACCACCATCAAACCGATGCGAGCTTCGGATCCTCCAATGTTTCTCTATGGTGCTGAAACCCTAAAGATGTCCGAGTTCTGCTCCCCGTGCAATTAGGGTTGGGTATTGTTTGGGTTTTTTTCGATACCGGTGCCAAATCGATACTTTTAAAACGGTTCCGGTGCCTAAATGGTGCCTGAACCGATACTTAAAAAATATATAAATATATCACAGTAAAAAGTATCACAGAAGGAAAAGGTCTCAGGAAATCCCTAATATGGACAAAGGCATTGCTATCGTTGTAACTGAGTAAACAGAAGATATAAACGTTTTGAATGATAAAACAAAGACAATAAATACTGTTTCACAACATCCAGCCAAGAGAAGAACACTCTACAGGAGGTAGGCATGTCACTGTTAAAGTCTACAATCAAGAGAAGACTTCACGAGAGCAAATTCAGACGGTTCACCACAAGGTGCAAACAAGGCCAGATTAGACTTTGCAAAAACATCTAAAAAAGCCTGCAAAAGCATTCTTTGGACAGCTAAAATTAAGATAAACCTGTACCAGAATGACGGGAAGAAAAAAGTATGGAGAAGGCTTGGAACAGCTCATGATCCAAAGCATACAACATCATCTGTGAAACATGGTGATGACGTGACCGAAGACAGAAGCAGCTAGATGAATTCTGAAGTGTATAGGGATATAATGTCTGCACAAATTCAGCCAAATGGAGCAAAGTTGATTGGGCGGCACTTCATAGTACAAATGGACGATGACCCAAATCATACAGCAGAAGCAACCCAGGAGTTTTTGAAGGTAAAAAAGTGGAATATTCTGCAATGGCCAAGTCAATCTCCTGATCTCAACCCGATTGAGCAGCATTTCACTTGCTGAAGACAAAACTAAAGGCAGAAAGACCCACAAACAAACAACAACTGAAGTTGGCTGCAGTAAAGGCCTGGCAAAGCATCAGAAAGGAGGAAACCCAGTCTCTGGTGAGGTCCATGAGTTCCAGACTTAAGGCAGTCATTGCCTGCAAA